AACCAAGAGGCTGCTTATCAAAAGACAGCCCTGACAGCCCCCTCTCAGCTCTGGCTCCATGGCTACACGTGGGAGACTCACTGTTGGTGTAACGCCAGGGGCGTTCAGTCTCACTGGAGAAGCCCTGGTGACTTTGACCAGAGAATACTGCTTTGAGGCACTCTCATGGTTGTATTTTGCAAGAGACTCAGTGGCAGCTTCCAAGACCTTGGAATCTGATAAATCACTGGGGCTGGGGCATTCGGGGCAGATTTGGTGAATGCTTCTTCGAGAAAACTGTTGATGACAAAAAGAATACTTGAGCCACAAAGATCCTTATGATTTTTAATCCCAATTTTGTATGACCACAACAGAGACATTGTAAAAAAAAATGATAATGCAGAGTTTCATCAAGGATGGAATGGAAATAGCACTCTGAATAGAAAGCTGTCAGCAGTGAGTTTTGTGCAATAGAATGTATTACTTTGATAATTAAAGTAAAATCAAAGTAAGTTTTTTCCCTCTCACACATTGGTTTATGTATGTGATGGGATATGCTGCTGAACTCATGTTTATATTGATTTAAAGACTTCACTTCCAGTGGGTTCAATATTCCAGAAGCATTGCCTCTGTAAGGGAGTCTGGGTGTCTTAAAAGTTTGAGATTTCATTACCACCATGGTTTTTTTTACCTTTAAGTCCCTATCATCAAACGTAATATCTAATGCATGATAATTCTTAGCAAATATTTGTTGATTGAAAGAAGAAATAACCCAACTGAAGGTGGAGGCAGAAGGTGTTTGGTTAGAAAATGCAAATGAGTCAGAAACAAAAATTGATTAGGTCAGTCTGTGACTGGACAGAATTATCACACTAGTGGTACAGTCAGAATTTCTGACTGGAAGCAGAAGGGGGTGGCAAATCTAGTGAGAAAATTGATCAGAGACTTGACTGAAGTTCATTTTCTAGAGTATAATATTGTCAGACAACTGTTATTAGACAATTGTATTAGTTATTTGCATATTTATTGTGCTGGAGTTTGGGTGATTTAGATTAAGGGGTAGTTATGTCCAGCTTATCACTCGTGGCACCATTCTGGGGTCAATTCTGACTAAATTATTTAAGTCCTGATTCTGATTAATTGTTGTTATTTAATTTATATTAGGCAAGTCCCATCTTTATACTCAGGAACCTTAACTGATGGTAAGTAATATATTTGCTCTGTTGCATTGTCCCTCAAGAAAAATGCAACACAGTTATCACCTGGAGCTTGTTAGAAATACAGACTCTCAAGTCCCACCCCAGACTTAGGGAATCAGAAATTGCAGTGGAATAGAATTGGCAAGGAGTATCCTATGTACATAATAGCTTGATAAGTGGCCATATCCTATATCTCAGGTCCTGACTGATGCTTATTCAAGCAGGATCCAGAAAGCATGTACTTACATATTTCAAAAATCATGACTTTTAGCAGCATTATCTCAGGATATTTGTTTTTAGACATCATAATGGACGACATACATATGACAGAAATAAGGGAGGGTTGTAACAGGCAGCAAGAAGAGATGAAAGGTTTCCATGATAGATGACTAAAGACCCCCAAATCAAGGCAGTGCATGATGTGAGCTCCAGGGGTGGCCTAATTAAAGTTTTACAGGGATGTAGAAAGGACAGCACCAGTCATTTCAGTCATTTCTTGAACAGAGAACATTGTGGAAGAAGCATCTGTGTCAATGGTCCTCAGAGAATGGATATGAATTCCAAATCAGAGGCTATCAGGGGAGGCATCCTGAGCAGAGGGAGCCAAATGAGTAAGAAGCACAGGCTGGAAAATGTTAGCTGTGTTCAGAAAACAGGGGGGCATCCAGCCTGGTGGAGTGCAGAGCGGTGGAGTCAGAATATCTGCAAACAGGCAAGAAAGGGCACCTGGGCACCAGACATAGAAATTATGACATTTGTAACTTACCAATGAGTTAGGATTCATACAGTACCCAATGCTGAGCAATTATTGCAGGTGACTTGTGGAAGCGGGAAGTGCCAGTATTGGATATAGTGGAAACATGGTCTTGGAATGATGATAGCAAAGAAAAGAAAACCTTGCACATGTGGGCATTGCCCTGCTTAAATGCTTCTTACTCATCTTTTACTAAAATGAACAAAACCAAAGCAACACTTTACCTGGGCGAAGAGTACAGTTATAAGAAAGTGTATGGAGGATTCTTGCTGTGTTGTGCATATAAAATAATGCTTTGCATTGACCATAAACCTGGAACAAACACATGCACTTTATGACATGGAAGAAGACTCTAAGACTTAAAAAAAACAAAACCCAAATTGAACATTTCATTTTTAAGTTCTGAAAAGCTGAATGACTATTCTGGTGGCTTTGACTGTGGGAAACCATCAGCTGATTATCAAGCAGTTTAACCTACTTCTGGGGCACAGCCAGACCTCATCCCCCACACTCCTTCTTGGTCCTGCATGACTGGGCACAGGAAGGTGAGTGGAAGTGACTGTAACCAGTGCCAGGTCGGGCCCATGAAGACCTCCCCTGAGCCATCTGCCCTCCTGCTGCTGGTTCTCTTGCCAGAGATGAGGCAGATGTGCTGGTGACCCCAGAAGCCTGGAGTAGGAGGTGGCAGAGTCACAGCCACAAAGGAGAAGGACCTCAGGTCCCCTAATCACTCCTGGAGAAAATGACTTCTTGATCACACATTTCTATTTTGAATTTCACATGAAAAGAAACAAACTTCTGTCATGTTGGACTCAGTATACAATTTTAAGTCTATTGTTATCACAGCTAGTGTGACCTTAACAAGTATACAATTTCCAGCAGGGTAAATAGATTATTTGCTTATCAAAATCAGGTTGGTTTGACAAATTGAGTAAATAATTAGAAAATGTATCTAGATCCAATAACTTCCTTGTTAATGTGATCCTGCACTCATATTATAAGCTTTCTATTGACAAATGGAAATAAGCCCAGCATGTTGAGAATAAACTGACTTTTATTTTTAAGCCTCTCCCATAGTCATCATTAAAATGATTAATTCTGAAGGCCTTTAAATCTTTAGGTTATTTGATTCTGGCAAATCCATCCAGTGTTATTGATTCTGGCAAATCCATCCATCTCAATCACCCAACAGTTTTCCTTAAACACACAACAGAGGACTTCACCTCAGAACTTTATCTCACAAGTTAAACAGTGGCTTAGCATCTACAGGATGCCACTTTTCATTCTGGGTTTCATAATTCCAAAGGGACCCTCAGAAACCCCTCAGAAAATGAGTTAAACCATTTTGTTTATTGAACTAGAATGAGCACAAGGCACCATGTTCAGGTGATTATAAAGAGTGGCATTTAAAAAGATGATTACCCCGAACAACTTTCATCCCATACACAGAGGATACCTCTTTTCTCCCCTGGAGCCCCTGGACACAAGCACTTACTAATTCATGCAGTGCTCTCCCTCCACATTTCTTCCAAGGTTTCCTGATGAGCACGTGGCAGTCAGTCTCTAACACGTCTAGGGTGAGATAGTACACAGCTGCTGGTCCGTCCTGTAGGCAGAAGTGGAGAAAGCAACCACATCCCACATGAGCAGCAACCCCTACAGACTGGCCACTGATATCTCTGTTTTATAGCAGAGTCAAGGCTAAGATGCCTGTCAAAACTTCTCATCACATCTGCAATACTAGACAAAGGTAGCATTAGCTTTGTCTTTAGTGACAGTGAGAGCATTGCAGACACCCTGGCAGAATTGAGCAGAGCTGCTCAGCAGCTTCCAATTTGGAAAGCACCGGCAACATGTGTCCCTGGTCCCTAGCCCAGGCCAGCCCAGCAAGCACCTGCCCGGGTAGGGGACCATCACTTGCCTGTCTGTGTTCACGGACATCGCTCACTCGGTTGAGGCTCAGCACGTAGCCATCCTTGTGGTCCCTGTTGATGTCCCTCAGGTCAAAATTAGCAAATGACAGCACATCTGAATCATTGCAGCCACGGGAGAGTAAAGGCGATGGGTTGAAGACTTGCTGGGGTGGAGATGTAGCCCCAGAGCCCACAGCCAGGGCGCAGAGCACCAGGGGCAGGAGCAGACCCATTCTGTGGGGAGCAGATCCCCGAAGGCGGCAGTGCAGGCAGCTCTAAGGATGAGCTATTTATAAGGCTTTCAAAGGTCAAGTCAAACAGTTTCGTAATTCGAGTCCAATCTGGTGACCGGAGTTTGAATTTTAAATTTTATATTTCTAAGTCAGTATTGGATGTTTTGCCAGTATTTCTAACTTTAGATCTCCCCATCAATCCTTCCTAACCTAATCATGTGTGTATGTGTGTGTGCGTGTGTGTGTGCAAACAAATTTAAGTCTTTTAATTTTTGCCCATGAAATCATAATAAACACCTGTGTCAAGTCTTTTTCTTGGTGGTGATTGGATTCTTCTGTGTCCAGGGATCCACCTGCATCAGAATATGCAGGATTCTCACACCCGCCCTGGTCCCCTTGCACCTCCTTCCAGCTGAAATCCGCAGCCATGCTCGGACATGAACCAGCTTGGGGCCCTGGTGCCAGTGGTTATGTTACAGGGCAGGGTGAGGTGCATCCCAGACCCCGCAAACCTGCCTGCTTTAAATAGGTTCTGCCATCTGCCACATCAACACAAAACATATGAGACTTTCATGGGAAGGAACTTTAATACAATTAGGAAACAATACAGGAAAGGCGAAGAATCTAGTTTCTAAATCAAGCATCCAAAGTTACCCATCCCTTCGTGGGTAAAAGTCCACCCAAGCAGGATTGGCCCAGAGCAAGGCCCCAAAGCCTGTCACAAGTCTAAAGCACCTTCTAGTGGGGACCCACAGAAAAGCATAAGAAACAAGCAGACAAGTCTGGAGGGAAAAGAGCAAAATCAAAATCAAGACAAAACCCGCCATTGTCACCTCCCCACGGTGTCTCACCCACATCTGTTTTAACCAGTCCACCACCAAAAGGCAATTGTAGTTTCTTCACGTGTCTCTCGGTTGCATGTGCCTCCTCCAGGTCTGCTTCTAGCTCCTCATCCTTCTTCCTTCCTTCCTCAGTCTCCTCTGCAGCTTCTTCTTTCTCTGCTCAGCTCCACCCTCCCTGGGGGGCAGAAACTTGGAAGATCCCCCTTTCTTGGGGACCACCCTGTTGCAGTTACAAGTGCTTTCACACTGCTTGAGAAAAGAGTCAGAAATGGAGTGAAGCATCTAGATTGGAATATCATAGAAGTGTAGTCCATGGATCTGTGTCCTGCGCCCCCCACTTCATACTTCCTCCCACCCCTGTCCCCAGTGGTCTTTGCTTAGGTAAGTATAACCCTTGCTGCACCCACAGAAGCAGGATCTAGGATGGTTTCTCATTCATTAGCACGTTAAAGGTATCACCTCAGATGCCTTGAGGGGAAGAAACCTATTTTAGACCACAATTTCCTACATTTACTTGACTATAAACTAGGTATTTGCCATGAACCACAAAACACAGTATTGGAATTGCTGCACTAGCAGATAAGTAGGGATCATTCTCATTGAGGTTTTCGATAATAAACTGTTAGGGGGAAAAGGATGTCCTAAAGCTAATTCCATACAGGTTTTGTGGACGCCACCCCCACCCCAGGCCAAAGCCAAAGACACTGGGAACTGCAAATCCCATCACCACCAAAGGGAAGGTGGCTGGGACCTGAGGTGGGGTTAAGCAGCCAGGTTGGTATAAAGCCAGACATGTGGGCTTTAGAGGGGTCCCCCATTTTGACTCTCCGCCAGCTCGCAGCGTCTGGCCAGTTCGGAGAGTGCTTTTTGGGTTTCCACGTCGGCGGATCGGGTAGGACGCATTAAAGACTTTATTTCCCTGTTTTCTCCCTGAGTTATACATTTTCCTTATTTCCTTTTCCCTTTTAAGTAAACCTTTTATTAACCTTTTGTGCATGCCTGCAGTGGAGTATTAATAAGTCCCTTTTAAGCGCGCGGGTGAGGACCCAAAGCCAGGCAACCCGTTCAATATCGGGGCTGCCCTATAACAATTTGATAAACCTGCTCTTGAAAACCCAATCACGGAGTTGTAAATTACTGGTGATAATTATCTTAAAGGTAAATTAGTCAATCACCTCTGAATGTAGTTTAATAAATCCAAGTGGCCCATTTCCCAGGTGAGAAAACGGAGGGTGGAAAGGAAGCATGTCTAAATAAAAATCATGAATGAAATAGTTACAGAACCAGGACAGAAATCTGCTCGTGTTAACGCTGTTCATCAGACCAAATATTAAACCTCTAGCCTGATTGTAACTCTTCAATTATCCACAAAAGTACTTGGAAAGTCACATAACTACTATAAGCCTCAGTATCTAGATCTGTAAAATGGGTTTATCATATCATAGCACCTTCCTCATAGGAGATTCTGTTCAGGGAGGGCCAGACCCACACGTGTCACACAGTGACAGCTGTGCTACAAGAATATTACGATAATTGTTGGAAACTCAACAAACCTTATTGTGCAACTCCACAATGCTAGGAATTGTTAGGTTCTCTGAAATCAAGGGGCAATAAATCTAGTTAGATTGCTAATCTACAGCTCTTAAATAACTCCAGACACAAATTGTTTTCAAGGCTTGATTAACCAACCCATAGCTAATGACCTGAGCTCCCTCCAGCTGGGCATTGGGCATTTTCTTTTATCCACAATGACAGTGGTTATGGACACTCTATGTTCACATTCTGCACACAACAAAGAGTTAGCTTCAACCGGTGAGTGAACAATCATTCACAGGTCTTGTGCTTTGTATGATAAGAGGCTGGAAAGATGAGACCACAGGCATGGGGAGGGGAAGAAAGGTGTGAGGCCTGAGGAAGCGCATCAGGTGTGCACGCTGAAGGAGCATCACTCCAGCTAGAATGAAAAGCAGGACTCCCAAGAACTCGGGACTACACCTGAGGGTAGAAATCAAATATTGTGCAAAAATTAACAATGTAAGAATATATATTTATATAGAGAGAGATAGATAGATAGATATACAGATATACATAAAAGCAGAACTATAATAAACAATTCAAAATGGATTAAATGATGACTGACCCTGATGGGAGAGGAAAGCAGACCCAGATGTCATGGTTCTACCCTTAGCCGTGTGATGAAATGTGGGGGGCATAAGCACTCTGAAGCCCAGTTTTCCTATCTGTGAAGTCAGGTTTAGAACTATGCACTTTCTGAGAGTGCTTTTGAAGCCAGAGTCTAATAGCTTGTGCAGGGCAAGACCAGTGGCTGGCCCCAGAAGCTGTTGTGGGCACTGCAAGCAGCTGTGGGTGGTGGGCATTTTACCACCAGTCACCAGTGGCCCCACTGGGGCTCAGACTACAGGCAGAGGTGGGCAGTGATGGTGGCTGGCAGTGGTTCCCCTACCACACCGCCCCAGGGCATGCAGCTGCAGGGAGACTGTAGGGAGGAACACAGACCTCCATGGGGCCAGCCCCAATGCCTTGGCTGCAGCTGCCAGGAGTAGAGAGGCCCATGCCTGGATCATAGCATGGAACCATAAGGTGTGTGCTATGAGCTGATTGCGGAATGGTTCAATCAGCCATAAAATTGAAAACACTCCAATCAGATTTGGAGGAGGGGTGGAGAACCCGGGAAGAGAATATAAGGCAGTGCAGAAGATAGGTTGGTATGCTCAGACACTCGGACTCTCACAGAGGATTCTGTCCCTAATCTCTGAAGAAGAAAGAAGAACAAGCAGCTGACCTCAGAAAGAAGCGATGCTGAAAGCCTTGCAGAGAACCCAAAGAGCTTCCCAGCAGCTGGGCGGGCGGCACCTGCCTCTAGCCTGTCTCTGACATTACCTGAAAGAACTCCAAAGGCCCGGCCCGGTGTCCTAAAGAGCTGTTTGTTGTTGCGATGGGCCAACAACTTACAAAGAGATGTTAAGATGGTGTTTCTGACACTGCTGCCTCCTAGTGACCAGTGGTGACCTATTGTTGAGAGTGACCAGCACTCTGTGTCCAGGTCACCTCTGAGGGCTGTTAACAGCTCCTGATCTCTTGGTACCACCTCCCGGTGTTGCTGCCTCCATTGCTGTCTGGTCTGGTGTCCTGTGCTGCCCACCCTGCCCTTCCTATGCAGTGTAAGTCTTTGTTTAAGGTTATTGTGTCCTTATTTACCATGTGGCTGAGTCTTCCATTGGTAAAAGTGAAATCTCCAGCCACTAATGTGTTTTTCCCGGTGTCTGTATTCATGTTTGATAGTAATTACCTGATACATTATGTTCCTTCATTTGATGTGTATAAATTGAAGAGTATTATGTTTCCTTATGTATTGTTCCCTTAATCATTATGTATCATCCATCCCTGCCTCTGGAAAGTACATTTTAATAAATGTTTCAGCTGTATGTTTATTGTTGTCTAATATAAACTCAAAATATTTTGCATGAGAATAATGAAAATTTAACATCCGTTGAGTAACCTGCTATTCCTCTTAATTTTATAATGAAAAACTAGTGATAGGCAAATTGATACCAACCTAATAGTTACGAAATGGCCAGGTAAAAAAGATTAATAAATCTACAATAATTATAAAATGATTGCTTATAACAGTATAGCTTCCATTTGAAGAGTTAAGACTTCCTTAAAATGAAGTTAAAAGCAATGGGTCTCATATTATGTTATAATACATGAATAAAAAGTTAATTATAAGCCAACTCTATGCCTACTACCCAATACATAACAAATTATTTTATGTATTTTGCATGTGAATGATACCTAGATGTGTTCTCCTACCTTTGCCATGGGAAAAATACAATATCTATGGGATTCTTGCCTTGGTCAGCAAGGGTGCTTCAGAAGCAAGCTCTGAGTCCCGGCAGCGCCAGCCATGGCACTCCATCGCCTGACTGTTGCAGGAGGTGTGGTTGAAGGAAACCACTGTGAATTAATCAGGACTGAGACTATCAACACAGAACTTTATTTGGTTCAGCAACAGATGATGAAATGACATTCTTCTCTCTTTAAACTCCATCTCATCTTCTTGTCTGTGCACTTGGGGCTGCTGAGAGGGGCTGGTGGGGCTACTGTGCCTGCTGTGGGGGTGCTGCCTCATTCTTAGGAGCTGCTCCAGGCCCTGCCTCCCGAGGATGGACCTGGTACTCGCAGGACTTTTGGAGCCCCTGTAAATATAGCAGAACTCTGTTAATCTGATGTTAGCATTCAATGAAAGAAAAATGAAGTTGACAAGGTGAGAATTTAAGAACCAATAAACACTGGTTCTTTATTTACAAATACAGATAATATTTGAAAAGATTTTAAACTCAGGCTCAGAAGCATGCAATAAAGTGATGGCAGTGGTGCACACACACACAGGTGAATGTAGCGTCGAAAGCCCTCTCTTGTTTCTCCAGGCAACATCACAGTACAGGTTATAAAATTTATGTCTCCTTCTCATGATAAGGCAATGGAATTTTAGTAGCAAAAAGATGATGTGATTATAAAGTAAGGTCATAGAGGCATTTCCTAATTTTGTTTCTTCATTTTGTCCCGGAACAATCTGTATCACATCTTGTGATATTCCTTTACTGATTATTAAAAAAGGGGAGTTTCTTAGCAAGTCTGCCTCTATATTTCTTCCTCTGTTTTCGTATTTTTCATTAAACTCAGATCTGTTGAAAACTTAGGAATACTCATTCTAGCCTCAGCAATAAACAGAAAACTCTGAGTCTGTTGCAAAGAATAGTTAATGAATAAACAGAAACTGTTGACTTATGAGAAACACTACCACTGAGAAAGAGGATTATTAGACTAGCTTTGTCAAGTGGGAGTAATTATATGGTATAAAATATGGTATAAAATAGCCCATTTTTTTAATAATAAATTTTATTTTTATATTCCCCATACAATTGCACAATTGAAACCCCCTTATTTCGACCCCAATCCCTCCCCTCCATCCCCTCCCGCTCTCTACCCCCCATAGAGTGTCTCTGGTTCCTAGTTTTTTGTTGATTTTGATTTTCGCTTTCTTATAGTTATTCATTTTCCTGGTCCCTTATTTAGGTTTCTAGATTCCTGCTATGAGTGAGACCATCCGGTATTTTTCTTTTTCTTTCTGCCTTATTTCGCTGAGCATGATCCCTTCCAGCGCCATCCATGTTGCTGCAAATTGCATGTGTTTATCTTTTTTGAATGCTGAGTAATCTTCCATGGTATATATGGACCACATCTTCTTGATCCAGTCATCTATTTTGGGGCATAAAATAGCCCATTTTTATACCCATTTAAAATGGGTATTATATAATAACCCATTTTATAATTATAAAATAGCCTATTTTATAATTATATGTTATAAAATAGCCCATTTTAGGAGCTACCATATGACCCAGCAATTCCACTCCTAGGGATCTACCCAAAGGACACAAAAACATTGATTCAAAAGAATACCTGTACCCCTATGTTTATTGCAGCACCATTTATAATAGGTACAATGTGGAAACAACCCAAATGCCCAAAAACAGATGAGTGGATCAAGAAGATGTGGTATATACACACAATGGAATATTACTCAGCATTCAAAAAAGATAAACTGATGCCATTCACAGCAACATGGATGTAGTTAGAAGGAATTATGCTCAGTGAAATAAGTCAGAAGGAAAAAGAAAAATATTGGATGGTTTCACATATAGGAGGAATATAGGGGAACCAAATAAGACACCAGTGTAAAAAAATAATAACAGTCCAAAACACAACAAAACAAAAACAGACAATTAAAAATCAGAGACATCCTGCAAGGGAGGAGGAGGGAGAGGGGTCAGAGGGAGGGAGGAGCACAGGGGACTGAGGTGATGGTAAAGGGCTGCATTGGTGATGGAAAGTCTATGGGGACTACACATGAGGGCGTGGGGGGGAATATTGTTTAAAAATGAACAATGATGTAAATATAAAATAATAAAATAAATAAAAATAATATAGGTCATTTTAAAAAGAGATGTCAATTCATTGACTGCCCATTTCCCTCCCTCTGACCAGTATCTCTTTCGATTGTTCTTCTTTGACTTTTGGAGATTATTATTATTTACCCAGTAAGTTCATCATTCAGTCTCTTGACTTCTTTTATTTTCTCATGTGTTCAGGGACTAGATGCCAGTTTATTTAGATTGTCAAAATCAGTGACGTTCCTTTTAAGGTATAGGTTTGTTATCAGAAAAGAAAACAGACCATAAGGCATATTCATTTGTCCATTTTCTGTGACAGTAGGAAAACGTGTGAGGCAGACTCAGAAAGGACTTAGCTTTCAGTTTTGCGTTGTCTATAGAGATCAAGTGTCACCATTGTAAAGATCACTAGGCTGTTCGAAATTATATGGGTTTGGTGCATCATATCAGGATATTGGGACAGTGGAGGAAGAAGGTGATAAAGTGCTAAAGAAATACCCATGGCAGCATTAATTATAGAGTGCATCAGAGAGATCAAAATCTAGAAATTCTTTCATTTCCACAGCTGGATCATTCCAATAACTGGCTTCCAGGGGCACTCGGGAAGAAGTGTTTGGGAGAAGTGTTTCTGGAAATCAGATATCAGGCTAAAGGAAAAGCTATCTGGTTCTACCTGGATGTTAGGGAGCCAATCATCATCACTCTCCGTGAGAGCTGGTGATGGATTAGGCATCAATGCTGCAAAGAGATCTGAGTCCTGAAAGTCAGCAAAGGTGACTGCTACCCCTGGCTGGGCTAGGGAAGGAGTGGGCGTTGGCCCTTCTGTCTTCTCTTGTGTCTGTGTAGAGGGTGTAGTGCTGTCTTCAGAAGAGGTTGCCAAATGCTCTGTTTTCCTTCCTTTGTGCTTTCCATTGCTTTTGTTTTTATTTTTGTGTTTTCCATGGCCATGACCATGCTCATGTTTATGCCCATGGGCGTGGCCATGATCCCTTTGATGTTCAACACCAAAGCAATGATCCCTTATGTGCCCATGGCCTTGGTCATGCTCATGTTTATGGCCTTGACCAAGGCCATGTTTTATTTGTTCTTTATGGGCCTTGCCATGCCCACGAGTGTGTTCTTGGCTTTTTTCCTGAATACTGTTCTTCATCTTGTACAGGTTTCATGGAAGTGTGGGGTGAACTTACAGTTGTTTCTTTTCTTTCATCCGTCATCACTGACAATCGAAAAGGTGAAAAACCTGGAGGCCTTTTCATCAACTTAATCTAAACAGAAATATTAAGATGAATGCGTTACTCTGAAAACCACACTGTCAATGAAGAAAGAAGGGACAGAGACCAGGCAAGGCTAACTCAGTTACAGGGTGCATGTCTTTGCCAGATTTTAAATACTGTATTTTTATTCTGGACAGTATGGGATGAATAATATCTTTTCCTCTTCTGATTAACTTTAATTTATAGACATTAATTACTGTTTTTAATAATATACTAAAGCAAGCTGGGGAGTCTTTATTTCATCTGGAAAAAATATATAATATCAGAGTAACTTTCAAGCCTCTTATTATATAAATCTGCAACACATTATTAATTGATACAATTTCTATTGCCAAAATTACTGCTTTCATCCTGAAAGGCTCTAACTGACTTCATGAGCTGAATATATAGGTATCACATATCCACAAGTACTTTGTTGGAGTGAACACTTCAAAACACGTCCACAAGCTTGCCATGCAGTCTTTGGACTATATTGCTTATGTTAGACTATGTATAACCTACATAGAGCAAAAAACCTAAATCAGCAAAAAAGTAAAAAGAGGCAATTTGTATTGAAGATATGGATTTGTGGATTATTTGTCCTTATACTGCTAGTACCTGTGTGGTGGTTAAGGCAGGGTTCAGTGGTGTAAAGAGCACAGTCTTTGGAGTCAAACAAGTTGGACCCTGTAGTCGTGGGCATTGTGGCAACCAGGGTGGAGCCTGGTTTGATCTGTATTTGAATCCAAGAACCACTAACTTCACTTTTTCCAATTGCACATTAACAATAACAGCATCTGGGCCTCCCCGGTGGTGCAGCGGTTGAGCGCTGGGTTGCGAAGCTGCCCGCAGCCTCTGCAGCGCCGGTTCAATCCCTGGCTGCTCCCCGGCCACCAGAGGAGGGTCCCACATGGCACGCAGACCTCTCCCGCCGCCCGCTGCTCCCCTCAGCAGTGTACTTCGGTCCTTCTGCCTGCTCTGCTCCCTGCTCTGGCTCTGGTGAATTCTCTCACTCTCCCGTGCTTCTGACTGTACCCAGTGCTTGTATAAATAAATAAAAATAAATAAATAAATAAATCTTTAAAAAAAAAAACAATAACAGCATCTTTCTTGTAGAGTTTTCAGGGAAAATGTATTTGAAATCCTCAGGCCAGAGCCTAGGACTGAAGATGCACTTGGTAATGTCATTATTTACTGTAGGAGCTCAGATCTTTCTAATTTTTAGTGTCTTGAGAATGGGGAAATACTACTCACCTCCCAGAATTCTATTAAAAATATTTAAAAGTGATGAAAAATAATGCTTTTTATACTTGAGTATAGGTATGATCCCCTGGGGATGGTGTCAAAATGCAGGTTTTGACTCAGAAGATGCAGTATGGAGGCTGAGATCTGCAATTCTCCCAAGCTGCTTAATTACAAACAGAGGGCAGTGGAGTCCTGTGCCTCACCTCAGGCACCACAGGAAGATGTGCAGCTATGTTAGCACCCCACAGCAGGGTCTGCACTGTACGAGGAGAGAATCTATCTCGCCCTGGACACTGGCAATGTGTGGGAAATATTAAGATGACTGCTGTTCTCATTTCCAGCCACAAAAGAGAGTAAACAGAGAAACATGAGATTTCTTCGCATTTGTAAAAATAATGACCCAATTCATTTCATTAATAGTTTAGGTTAAGCTCCCAAATATGACTTTTTCGAATGAGCCAAGATGAACCCAAGATGACTATAAACATAATCATACCTCTGTGTTTGGATCACACTTGACAGTTGTTGTGGTTTCGTTCATCCAAGGTATCATGTAAACATTAGAATTACAGATTAGAGCTTGCTATCAAGAGAACAGAAGCCAAAAGAGAAAACACTGTTATTCATGAGATACTTAACCAAGTTTGAAACATCAAATAAGCTTCCAGGAAATAAGTAGACAATTGCATTACTGCTTACCCCTGGTTCTTTGGTCTCACAACTACTGGTGAACTCTGTATTACTTTCCTTGGAACATGTGGTTTCCCTGACCGTGAATTCTATTCTGTAGATCAATCCAGCCACCACCTGGAATATTAATTAGCATAACGTAGGTATACAGCTTAAATAAAATTGTATCAAACATCTGCTTCTACTCTAAGGACTAAAAAGAGAGAACACTGGCATTTTGATTACATGCTAATTAGGAACTATAACAAATCATTCAAATGTCTGACAGCAAAACTTCTGGCTTATATGCATGTGTGAAATATTTTACTATTGCCTGGTCCTATTTCTTTTCCCAATGGGAAAAGAAGAGCAGGATGTAATGTTAATAATTTTCTGAGTTTCATTGTTCAACAACTACAAAATTCACGGGTAATTCAAGGTTCAGGTTGTACTGGAATCTAAAAGGAGTAGGAAGAAAAACTTAAAACATTTTCTCTATACATGACTTGTCTTGCTAAATGAATCAGAAAAACACTTAGTCTCACTATGGATATTATGTTAATTAAATGACATGATTAGGAAAACTCTTTGGGTTTTCAGTTTTGCTTCTCACCAAATTTTTTATATTAGAAAACTATTTCCATTGCAGTGATAGTTTAAATCATTATACAATGGTGTTTTCCATCAAGCAATGTGTGGTCGAAGTTCTTTTCTTCTGTTTTGGAGGGCCTTAAAGAAGCACACAATTTATTTATTGTAAAAATTAAACTCATTGTGTTTTAAAAATACTCTAATTTTAACAAAATCACAATTGTGATATTTTCAACATTTAATAATAGTATTCCTCTATCTTTTACATACTTGAAAAAGGCACTTGATAAAATATTTTGAAATTATATTTTTTAAAGTTAGCTGATATTACCCAATTCTACACCAAGTTATTGAGCACTTGGTACAGGATTTAAGTTTGTGTGTGTGTGTGAGAGAGACAGAGACAGAGAGAAAGAGAGAGAGAGAGAGAGAGAGAGAGAGAGAGAGAGAGAGAGAGATTAAAAACTCCTATTTTAGAATTCTAGACACCCTGAGTCAGAAGCATAGAATTATTTAGTAAGATTTTTTTGTTCCAATTATAAAGATAAAGATAATGTTGGTTTGGTCTAACAGCTGGTTCTATTTTGATTACTTTTTTTCAAGCCTGTATTTAAGGAAATCAATTTTGAGGTTCTATAATAGTAATCTGCCCACATCACATTAGGCTGCTGGAGCTGGAAGGGATATGGGCTCCACTCAACCAGCCACTTCTGCTGCAGATGGGACGACTAAGGCTGTGTGAACCTGAAGGACAGTCCAGGGGCATCCAGGATGTGAGTGGTTAGATAACGGATAGAGGTGGGTGTCCTGAGCCCCAGACCAGGGCTCACCTTATCCTCTGCTGACAAGTGTGGAAGACAGAGGACATCCCATAGGTTACCCACATAGGGAGATTGGGGAAAAATGACATGGACATGAAAATGTGAAGAGTCTGGATAATAGCAACTCACTGTTGTGACTGAGTTCAGGGTACTAAGTATGTTACAATGAGAGATGAATCTAGAAAGGCGTAAATAAGTCTTCCTTTTTCTAGCCCTGAATTTGATTATATAACAGCTACTAGTATTTATATATTCTAGCCCTGAATTTGATTATATAACAGCTACTAGTATTTATATAGCACTTGAGCGTTTGAGAAGTGATGACCACACATCCCCTTATTTGATCATCACTGCAGACTTTACAGATAGAAAATGGAGAGTCACTTATTCAGGATCACACACCAAGCTTGCAGTGAGGTTATGATGTGAACTTCAAATATTTCAAATTTCATTCATCAGCTCTATTATTTCCCAATCCAGAATCAAGATCTTCGCACAATTAGTAAGCAATTTGCACACATACTGCAATATTAACTTCATTTGTAGCATAATTAACAGACCTGAACTGTGGCTTTTTTCACATTGTCAATCTTGAAATAGAAAGTTCCATTATTTTCTGCATTCAGCTTTTTGATGGAAAGATTCAGAACCTCTTTCAATTCTGGGCTGTTTGCAGAGATCTCTGTGGGACAGCCTGCACACACCTCGGGAGGAAAATTCACCGCTGAAAGAATCAGGTTTTAAGGAAGTGTGTATAGAGAAGGAGCAATCTAGCCTTGCACCTGTCCCATTCATGATCCAGTATCCATTTACACAGGGTCGTGTGGCTGCCCAAGGGGTGAGTAGGTGGAGGCTGACTTTCTGGCCTTTGCCTGCTGCCTTTCCTCTTATTTCTTTCCCCTGAGCCCAGGGTATTTAGGGAATCAGCCAATCAGAAGGTCTTAATACCTCAACCAAAATGGTGTGCTTTTTATAACTTACATATTTTTCTTGGAGACTGTCAAAGGCAATTCTTAAGTTAAAGGAATCACTCTCTAGTGGGAAAATTTTAAGTCCTTTGTTCCTGGTGAGCTGGCAGCTTCAGGAATGCTACTTACTGTGGAGTCCATACAACTATCTTGCAGGTGGGATAAAAGCCAGCTCTTGGTACAGAAATACTGACTTGATCATAAACTCAACCATTTTCCTGACTATAACATGGATAGAGAGGAAAAAAAAACTTTAATTGAGAGAATTTTATTTTGAGCATTTAAAAATATGGTCAGCTTTTCGTAACTGAATATCACTGGGCTTAGGGACATGTCGTAACAAGGAGGCCCAGCAGGCTCAGAGAACAGAAAGTTCCCCTTGTGGCACAACATCCTTTATGGACCCCTGGGCGAGCACTTTCAGTTCTACCTGCTGCCACACAGCTGGGCAGAGATGGGTACAGTATTGTCAGAAGGGTTGAGATGAGGTACAGTGTCCTCAGCAGGCTCTGTTGCCACACAGAATTTGTGGCACAGGATGGGAGCACATATCACAGCTGCTGCGACATGATCAGAGTGGTGTGGCTCAGCACACACTACTGAAGCACCAATGTGAGTTCTCTCATACCTGGAGAAGTCTCACACTTCTGTATGAGGGAAATAATTCTCTGCGAAAGGTCCATGGATGCTTTATCTGTGCATTCACCGATATCCTGGTTTTAAAAAAGTACACAAGAGCATAAGTTAAAAAATGTTCTTAAGAAACTTTATACAAGTAGTGAAATAAATTTACTAATAAATTAACTTTACAATCTTTGCATGGAAAAAAAAAGTCTAGTTTTCAAGAAGAATAAGAAAGTTATATAATTGCATCAAAACTAATAATCAACACATATACATAGAAATATGAAATAAGATGTCAGGAAAATCTAATGTAGAAATAATAACCATATAAATGAATGGCAACATTTTCATTTAGAAAGGCAAAGACTTTCAGTTAAGTTAAAAAAAATCAATTGTTAACTTTAGGAAAAATATCTTGTAACAAACCATATAAATGATCTGTGACAGGCCCCCCCGGTGGTGCAGCGGTTGTGTGCTGGGCTGGGAAGCTGCCCACAGCCTCTGCAGTGCCCGCTTGGTCCCCAGCAGCAGGGGAGGGTCCCACATGGTGTGCAGACCTCTCCTGCCGCGCCCTTTGCTCCCCACAGTATTGCACTTCGCCAGTCTGCCTGTTCTGTTCCCTGCTCTGGCTCTGGTGAATTCTCTCACCCTTCCGCGCTTCTGACTGTACCCAGTGCTTGTATAAATAAATAAACAAAAATATAAATCTTAAAAAAAAAATTGTCTCTTTTGCTGTGCAGAAGCTTTTTAGTTTGATGTAATCCCAGGTGTTTATCTTTGCCTTCACCATCACTGCTTTGGGTGATGAGTCTTTAAAGATGTTTTTGAGATGTATGTCTTGTAGTGTTTTACCTATATTTTCTTCTATATATTTTATGGTTTCAGGACCAAAACAGAGTTACACCCCACTAATTGGGAAAAAATGTTTGCACTCCATCCAACTGATAAGGGACTGATCACAATGATATACAAAGAACTCACATGGTTCAACAAAAACAAAGTAAACAATCCAGTCAAGAAATGGGCAAAAGAACTTAAAAGACATTTCTCCAAAGAGGAAAAGCAAATGGCCAACAGGCATATGAATAAATGTTCAATATCCCTTATAATCAGGGAAATGCAAATCAAAACCACATTGAGATACCACCTTACACCAGTAAGAATGGCACATATCAAAAAACAAGCAACAACAAATGTTGGTGAGGATGCGGTGAAAAAGGAACTCTCCTACATTGCTGGTGGGAGTGCAAACTGGTCCACCCATTGTGGAAAGCTGTCTGGAGGTTCCTCAGTCTACTGAAAATGGAGCTACCATAATCTGGCTATTCCACTCCTAGGGATCTACCCAAAGGACACAAAAACAGCGATTCAAAAGAACAACTATACACCTATGTGCGGCAGGATGCGCTACCCATGCTGTCTCTTGAGAAGGTCTGGGTATTGGGGGAGATCCCAGAGAAGAGGGGAGTCCCTGTGCTCCCCAGAAGAGGGAAAATTGTACTTCCCACAAGAGGGGAGTTCTTGCACTTCCCAAGAGCTGAACTAGGGAGTCTCCATAGCAATGCCTGCTAATGCTCTCCTCTTTGTTCTTGGTTAATGCTAAAGTAAGTTAGTTATTAATTGGCTTGTGAAAACCCAATTCAGACCTAGACATTAATTGATTTATTGTTCTTACACTTGAATCAGTATCAAAGAAAGTACAAACTGCTAAATGTATAGTTAGGAAAGAAATGTTTTGGCCCTGAGAACTATGGAAAACAAGTCGCCCTGAACCAGCTGTGCTTGGAAACAGTAGCCTAACACAGGGGGTTTAGCCTAACACAGGGGGTACATGTTTGCTGCAGCAGTGCATTTCCTGGTGTATGCAAAAGGTCAATAGTTCGCAGGACATGTGGAGGTTAGGAAACTCTAGTTAAGACTTAGACTTCAGTAGAACTAACATGGATTTGATGAGTTGCTTTAGGCCACTTTGAAGTAATTGAGTGCTGAGGAGATAGGTTGATTTTTAGTAATAGAGTATAGAATAGAACTTTTACGCCCACTAGGAAACTAGGAAAATTCAATAGAATGCTTAATCGTTGCCAAATGTTGTGCTGTCTTATATAATTGATCATGTTAGAAAATGAGCTGTACCTAGGAAACTAATTGTTCCTGATGTTTTTTGAGGTAACCAAAAAAATGCCCTTTTGGTATGAGACCAAGGGAGTTGCTACATGTTTATGAGAAAATATGTATTGATTGTCTTTGCTCTGTTTCAATGCTTACACTGATGTAATCACACCACTTGCCTTAAGGTATAAATAAAGACCCGCTGAGACCCTCAGCAGGAGATATTTGCACCAGAGAGGGTGTCAGTGTCTCCTCAATACTTCATTCCACTTCCCCTCAGCCCTCTGAAAATTTCACCACAGCAAGCCGTCCTCTCCTTTCTGAGATCCCTGACACGACATCTACCTGGAGCTGGTCTCCAGCACCTATGTTTATTGCAGCACTATTTACAATAGGTAAAACCTGGAAACAATCTAAATGCCCAAAAATAGATGACTGGATCAAGATTATTCAGCAATCAAAAAAGATAAACTCATGCTATTCGCAGCAACGTGGATGGAGCTAGAAGGAATTATGCTCAGTGAAATAAGCCAGAAGGAAAAGGAAAAATGTGAGATGGTTTCACTTGTAACAGGAATATAGGGGAATCAAATAAGACATCAGTGTAAAAAAAATAATAATAACAGTACAAAACACAACAAAGCAAAAACAGACAATTATAAACCAGAGACATCCTGCAGGGGAGGAGGAGGCAGAGGGGTGAGAGGGAGGGAGGGAGGAGCACAGGGGACTGTGGTGATGGTGCACGGGTGCCTTGGGGGAGGATATTCTATGGGGACTCAATCTGAGGGGGTGGGAGGGAGGCAAATATTGTATAAAAATGTAAAAAATGATAAATGTTAAAATAAAAAAAATGGGGAAAAAAAAAGGAAATGATCCGTGAAAGTTCCTTTGGTACAAAATGGATGGATCTTGAGGTGATTGTGCAAAGTGTAATAAGTCAGAAAGTGAAAGATGGTTTCACTCACTTGCAGAATATAGATACAGAAAAAAAAATTGATGAAGCACAACAACATCATTCTTAGGCTCTGTGAAAAATGTACTGGCTACTGGAGCAGGAGTGGAGAAGTGATGGGTTGAGGGACAGGAAGGGGGTCAGACATGGGACTGGAGCCTTGGTGGCAGGTGAGTAAGGCATGTGCACCTAGGGACATGTCAACTGGTACTCCCCAAAATATTACTATGCAAACCATTTGTAAACCAATAAAATAAAAGCTATGATATTACAAAAGAATATCTTAAAAATAAAAATAAAGAATAATATCTTATACTAGGATAAAGGAAACTTAAAGCAAATACAAACAAAAAAGGGGCAGAGTACTATTAATACTGGGAATAATAAAATTCAAGGTATCAAAAATTTTATGAAAGTAGTGAAAAGATTAATTTATTCTTTTAAAAGAGACAGTCCAGAAGTATGGGATCAAAATAAAGTAGAAGCTATAAACTTTGTGAGTTTAAATGGATAAAAATAATTGCGGTAGGAGAATTTTATATATGCTATTAATGAAGGAAGGCCAATGATAAAAAAAACGGTTATAAAAGAGTTGAATAAGATAATAAGCATTTATTTAAATGGCACTTTCATATAATATACAATTTATAATACTTTTATAGCTAGGGTACAAAATAATTTAAATCACCTTTACATTAGGTCACAAGAAAGATTGGTTTTGGAGATATAAATACCAGACCCATAAGTCGCATATTTAAATTTACTTTGAAGCTATGGCTGTGAACAAATGATGGCCTTGGAACAAAAATAGAGGACAGAGCTTTCATATGAAACCACTACGGGAGAAATGTCATCTCAAATGTGCGTGGAAGGGAAGAATGCTGAGCTATCTGGTATTCTCTTGGGAAAAATCAGTTGGCTCCCTCAAACAAAATTAATTCCACATTAAATTTAAAACTATTTCTGAAAACTTTGACAACAGAAAGAAAACTAAAGTAACTGCAGAACACATGGTGGAAGAATTTAGAAGGAAAATATCCATAGATTTGGTGACTTATAAACAAAACTATTTGTGAGTCAGTAGTATTGTAATGTAAACTAAAATGTAAATAACGGAGGACATACAATAAAGCACTGATCCCTTTATAAAGGAATGCTATTTTTCAAATTATTCAAATTTAGCTTAGTTTACTTTATATAATTGAATGACTATATATTTTTGTATACAGTTTTTTGTTTACTTATAGCCATTTTATTATGTCACAAAACTTAATTTTTTGATTAATTAATTAATCAACCATAAAACTTAATTTTTGATGGCGGGACCATCTTCTATTGTATGGATATACTGTCATATACTTAGGCATTCCATAATGTTGAAGGAATTTATTTCCAATGTTTTCCTAGTAATAATAACACTGAAATTAACATCTTGCAGTACAGATCTCTCTCTCTCTCTTTTTCATATAAGGGAATTTAGAAGTAGAATTACCAGGTTAAAAGACTTGCAGCAACCCTTTACTTAAAGCACAGTCTTCTGTTAAAATGCAAATACTCCAGGGAGGGTTAGGCCTTAGCCATGTCAGATACAGAGGGACAGAGCAAGTGGGGAAGGAAAGGAGGGAGGAAGGTGTGAAGATGGGGAAAGACAAACTTGACAATGACATCGCATTGTCTCACGCTATTCTCAGTCCCTGGTTATCTCTGTAAGTGCTTTTTGCTGATGTGTAGATTCTTTGACCACATAGGTAAGGGCATAGAGACCAATGACGTGAGCCTTCCCAAGGGAACGTGAGTGTCATCTAACATTTTAGTGGCAGAGTTCTAACACAGTTCTAACACAGCTGCAGAGTTCCCACACCAAAAAACCTGTACATAAAATGCTAAGAAGATAATTAGATTGTTGCTTACTTACGCCATTGGAAAGGATCTGGCAGTCTGGAGTTAATAATGGAAAGTCTGCCTTGGAACAATTTGTTTGCAGAATTGAGTAGGAAACATCAAAGTTCCATCCAGCTACCACCTGAAACAATTTTCAGAGGGGCTTAGGATACTGCCTGGGATATCATCAACACCCAAGAAGTATCAACTGTAATTATTGATAAACAAAAGTTGTTACTAAATAAATATTAAGCATTTTATGATTCACACAACCCTTATCACAACACACACACATTCATAAACATGTGTAAACACATAAACATGTGTATACATAAACATGCATATACATTCATAAACATGTGTATACACACATTCATAAACATGTGTATACATTCATAAAGATGTGTATACATCTGCCAGGATGCAGAAAACATTTTCTATTGCATTTTGTGAATTATTAACAATGCTGTACTGGGCAGATTAAGAAAACTTGGAGCTCAAGTAATCTTTAGGTCCTCAGTTCCTCGGGCTAGCTGGTAATAACATTTCTCTTGCTTTAATGTGGGCCAGTCCTGCTGTCATAGCTGGACAGGGACACAATTGAGCTGCTTGTGTATCCTTCAGGAAGGCAAGTTGGAAGGCGGAGCAAAAGCAGGGAATGTTGCCAGCCAAAGCTGAGTCATCATGATTAGAAGTTGAACTACAAGGGATCCAGCCAATTGTCAGCCAAGGCTTAGTGGTCTGAGGCAATGAAAGGATGTTCTATAGATATTTGCTTGCCCGCCAACCCCTAGAAATACAAAAACTAATTTAGAGGGTGCCCAGAAAGCAATGCCAACTTTTTTTAGGTACAATTTAATATTCTGAAGCCATGTTTGTCTCTTGATAGGTAGGTGGTGTTAGAGGGTTTTTTTTTTTAATATTTATTTATACGTACAAGAACTGGGGTGCAGGCCAGAGGTACAGGGAGTGAGAGGATTCACCAGAGACAGAGTGGGGAAGAGAATAGGCAGGCTGACTGAAATACACTGCTGAGGGGAGCAGCGGGAAAGTCAGGAGGGGTCTGCTGCGCCATTTGTGTCACCTCCCTGGCCGGGGATTGAACTCATGCTGCAGTCTTAAGCCCTTGCACCTTAAGCCCAGTCTTAAGCCCTTGCACCACCAGGGAGGCCCCATGGTGTTAGAGTTTTCTTAAAACCTTCAGGCCAGAATGACTTCTTTCACCAGCTCTAGAAAGAACTTCTAATGCTGACCACCCTTTCATTCCAAACAAATCTCCAAGCAGGGAGCCTGATGAGTCACCTTGGAGCCTTTACATGTTGCAGTTTCCCGGTCACTTTGACCGAAGCAGAAGATGTTTGCTGCCTGTGTTAGCCACAGGAGGACATAGAAGAGCCTCCCTCCAGTTGTGTAACCCAGTGTTTTTTCAGTCAACAGTTTGCTTCAGTTGATGAAATCCTAAGCATAAAAATCTAACAAATTTTAACAATGCAAAATGAAAAATAAAAGAACAAACCTGTTTATAAGCATGTTTTGCTTTTCCAAGATCAAAGAGGTGAGAATGAGCACTGTGGTTGTTAAAGTGTGAAATAGCATGCTTCAGGATTTCTTTTACGCTGGAGTCCTCTGTTGATATGGGGTACATGCAACCACTGCAGATGTGCTGGGAAATCAGTGCAGGTCCCCCCACTTGACAAAGAGAGGCAAAATAAGAGACAATATTAATGAGAGAAAGCAGCATTAAAATACATTGCCCTACAGGGGAGCGCGTCCCCGGCACCGGCATTTTGCAGCAGGAACCTTTCTTGCTGGAGACTATGTGAAAAAAGCAGAAGGCTCACCGAGGAGACAGAGGTAAGCTGGGAGGCTTGCCTATGCCGGGCGCCTTCTAGCCTGCAGTCCCAGCCCAGAGGGGAGCGGCACCCACCACTGGGGCAGGCCGGGTGTGCAGGGGAGCGTGCCCGGCACCGGCATTTGCAGCAGGGACCCTTCTTTGGTGGAGACTGTTTGAACCCAGCAGAAGTTCCCCAGAGGAGCCAGAGGTGAGCTGGGAAGGTCGCCCAAGATGCCGGCCAGTACCAGCAACACAGTGTCACAAGGAATACGGCAAATTAGAAAACAGGCAGTAGGGAGTAGAAAAACCACATGCAACCCAGCAACTCCTCAGCAAAAAAGCACACCGCAAAAAGAAAACCATCTACCAGATTGCAACGACAGTAACTTGGAAGAACTTCTGAGCCTTCCAGATAGAGAATTTAAAATTGCTATGATTAAAAAACTGACAGAAGTCATAAAGGAAAACAATGATAAGGGGAAAATAATTAATGACCAGAAGAATGAAATTGAATCCCTAAAGAGGGAAGTAAAAGAAATGCAGGAGATCAAAGAATTAATGGAGACGCTAAAGAACTCTGGGAAAAGCAATGAAAGCAGAATAGATGAAATGGAAGAACGAATAAGTACTCTTGAAGACACAGAAATAAAAAGAACTAAAACAGAAAAGGAAGGAGAAGTACGAAGGAAAAAGACCAAAGAAAGACTTCGGGAACTATCTGACTCCATGAGGAAAGGAAATATAAGAGTTATAGGAATCCCAGAAGAAGAGGAGAGAGATGTAGGAACAGAGAAAATATTCAAGGATATAATTGAAGAGAACTTCCCAAACGCGAAGAAGGAGCTGAAAATTGATATACAAGAAGCAAGAAGAACACCAAACTTCCATGACGAAAGGAAAAATACAGCAAGACACATAATAGTAAAGCTCCCAAGAATCCAAGACAAGGAAAAAATAATGAAACTGACAAGAGGGAAGAAACAGATAACATTCAAAGGGAAACCAATCAGACTGACATCAGACTTCTCTGAAGAAGCGCTACGGGCAAGGAGAGAGTAGAGGGACATAGTCAACAGACTCCAAGAAAACAGATGTCAACCAAGAATACTCTATCCCGCAAAGCTCTCCTTCCTCTATGATGAAAGAATAAGGACCTTCTCAGACAAACAGAAACTCTGGAATTTTATTACGACTAAACCCCCACTCCAAAAAATACTACAAGGAGTCCTAAAGCCAGAACCTCAGAGGGACGAATAACAACAAAAGAAGGCCAAAGAAAGTTATTAAAAGAATAAATAAATAAAATCAAAGGAAAGACAAACACAATGGCAAATACAGATGCTAACATATCAATACTAACTCTAAATGTAAATGGACTAAACTCTTCAATAAAAAGACACAGAGTTGCAGGCTGGATTAAGAAACAAAACCCAACCTTTTGCTGTCTCCAGGAAACACATTTAGCTGCAAAAGATAAAAATAGACTCAAAGTTAAAGGATGGAAAACAATTCTACAAGCAAATGGACCAAAAAAGAAGGCAGGAACAGCTATACTCATATCAGATAAAACAGATTTCAAACTTAAAAAGATAAAAAGAGACCCCAGTGGTCATTACATTATGATCAAGGGGACAATACTTCACGAAGAAATAACACTCATTAACATATATTCACCAAACGAAGGAGCACCAAAATATATCAGACAACTATTGGCATCTCTGAAAACAGACATCAGAGAAAACACATATGTAGTGGGAGACTTCAACACGCCACTATCAACAATGGATAGATCAACAAGACAAAAAATAAGTAAAGACACTAAAGCTCTAAATAAGGATCTAGAGTGCTTGGGCTTAACAGACATATATAGAACACTAAACCCCAAAAAATCTGAGTATACATTTTTCTCAAGCGCACACGGATCATTCTCCAGGATCGATCATATACTGGGGCACAAGACAAACATCAACAGATACTCCAAGATTGAAATCATACCAACCATCTTTTCTGACCATGAAGGCATCAAACTAGAAATAAACCATAAAAAGAAGGCAAGGTACTCTCCTACCTCATGGAGATTGAAACCCACACTACTGGAAGTCCACTGGACTAATGAGGAGATAAAAGAAGAAATTAAAAAATTCTTTGAATTGAATGACAAGGAGGACACCAATTTCCTAAATGTATGGGATGCAGCAAAAGCAGTAGTAAGAGGAAAATATATAGCAATAGATGCTCACATCAAGAAACAAGAAAGAACTCAAAGAAACAACCTAATCTCGAAGCTCAAAGATCTAGAAAAAGAACAACAAAATAACCCCAAAACCAGTAGAAGAAAAGAAATAATAAAAACCAAAGCAGAAATAAACGAAATTGAAACTAAAAAAAAATCCAAAAGATCAATGAAACCAAGAGCTGGTTCTTCGAAAAAATTAATAAAATAGATAAACCCCTAGCCAGGCTCACAAGGGCAAAAAGGGAGAAAGCACAAATAAATAGGATAATAAATGAAAGAGGAGAAATCACAACGGACACAGCAGAAATCAAAAGAATAATTAATAACTACTATGAACAGTTATATGGAAACAAGTTCAACAATCTAGAGGAGATGGACAAATTCCTACAACTCTACAATCACCCAAAGCTAGACAAAGAAGAAATAGAACACCTAAACAGACCAATTACAATTAGCGAAATTGAAATGGTAATCAAAAACCTCCCCAAAAACAAAAGCCCAGGACCTGATGGATTTACAAATGAATTCTACCAAACATTCAGAGACGAATTGGTGCCTATGCGTATCCTTCACAAACTCTTCCAAAAAATTGAGAAGGAAGGTATAATACCTAACACGTTCTATGAAGCCAACATTACACTAATACCAAAACCGAACAAGGACAACACAAAAAAAGAAAACTATAGGCCAATCTCCCTAATGAGCACTGATGCAAAAATCCTCAATAAAATTTTAGCTATCAGAATCCAACATCCAACAGTGTATCCATAAGATAATTCACCATGTGCTGCACCCCCCCCCCCCCCCCCCCCCGCAGTGATCTTTAGGAATGGCTTTCGCTGCCACCAGGGTCCCTAGATCTGGCTGGGCAAGGGGGGGGGTGGGGAACAGCCTGAAGCAGAGCAGAGGAAGTTCAGCAGAAGGCTGAAGTTCCCTGAAAAGGCAGAAGCTTATCTTATCAATAGATAAGACCACCAAGAACCACTACAAGAATGCTAAAAATCTTATCCAGTCTTTCTAGAACTACCAACTTTAATCCCTTATTTGTCTTTCTAAACTTACTTCCTTCTTCTATAATGGTCATTGCTTGTTATGTAGATCACCTCCCTGATGGTGATTGACTGAGCCCATGAGCAAGCTAATTTCATTGATATTCATTCCTGTGCTTTTGGAAAACATATATATACTGGTCACAAACTTAAGAAAATTACACTTAGATTTTCACTCTTGAAGTGTGTCTGTTTGTCATTTCTTTCGCCGACGCCCTGACCACCCTGCACGCTTCTCTCAACCCTGAGGTGGCCTCATCGTCTACTGCTGTGCTGGTCCGCGGCAACCATGACCAAGTAGGATTCATTCCAGGGACTCAAGGATGGTTCAACATCCGAAAATCAATCAATGTAATCCAACACATCAACAAAAAGAAATATAAAAACCATATGATAATATCAATAGATGCTGAGAAAGCTTTCGACAAAGTGCAACATCCATTCATGATAAAAGCCCTTGAAATTCTTGGGATACAAGGAACATACCTCAACATCATAAAGGCCATCTATGACAAGCCAACAGCCAGTATCATTCTCAATGGTGAAAAGCTGAAAGCATTTCCATTAAGATCTGGAACAAGACAAGGATGTCCACTCCCACCACTGCTTTTCAATATAATACTGGAAGTCCTAGCCAGAGCAATAAGACAAGAGAAAGACATACAAGGAATCCAAATAGGAAAAGAAGAAGTCAAACTATCACTATTTGCCGATGATATGATAATATACATAGAGAACCCCAAAAACTCCATAGTAAAACTAATTAAACTCATCAATCAGTTCAGCAAAGTGGCAGGATACAAAATCAACATGCAAAAGTCAGAAGCCTTCCTATACACTAACAATAAATCTGAAGAAGAAGAAATGAAAAAAACCATCCCCTTTATTATCGAAACAAAAAAAATCAAATACTTGGGAATAAATCTAACAAAAGAGGTAAAGGACCTTTACAAAGAAAACTATAAAACACTGTTAAAAGAAATAGAAGAAGACACAAAGAAATGGAAAGACATCCCCTGCTCATGGATTGGAAGGATAAACATTATTAAAATGGCCATCCTACCAAAAGCAATATACCAATTCAATGCTAGTCCAATAAAAATTTCAATGTTATTCTTCAAAGAAATAGAACAATTATTGATGAAATTCATATGGAATCACCAAAAACCCCGAATAGCCAAAGCTCTCCTGAAAAAAAAAGAAGGGAATGGAGGCATCACACTCCCAGATTTCAGGCTAACTACAAAGCCATAATCATCAAAACTGCATGGTATTGGAACAAGAACAGACACACAGACCAATGGAATCGAATAGAAAATCCAGAAATAAACCCAAAGATTTATGGTCAACTAATATTTGACAAAGGAGCAAAGAATATACATTGGAGAAAAGAAAGTCTGTTCAATAAATGGTGCTGGGAAAACTGGGTCACTACATGCAAAAGAATGAAGCTTGACTACTACCTCACACCATACACAAAAACCAACTCAAAATGGATTAAAGAACTAGACATAAAACCTGAAACCATAAAATACATAGAAGGAAATATAGGCGAAACACTACGGGATTT